ATGACCCACCTCTGAAATTGACATTTGATGACCATCGGCATATAAGCCTAAAACTTCGTTCATGCTTTGCGTCAACGTCGACCAGCGACCACCGGCGTTTCGAGCGCACGCCAGCCACTAGAAAAGCATAGATATCGATTTAGCGAACGGCAGCATCTACCATCTTCCCATCTTGAATTTCTAGGAGTGTGTATGTATCGATCGAGCGAGCGCCAGCGTACATCAGCGTTTTCGCGGGCAGTTCAACAATGCCCGCGAAAACGCTGATGTACGCTGGCGCTCGTTCGATCGATACATAAGGCGGTCGTTTGGCGCGATTTCATGGCCGTTTACGTGTTCTGACAGGTACATGCCTACCGGATAACTTGTCCGAATCACTGAACTATAAGGTTTTCGTAATTTGTAGCCTATCAAAAGCCGTCACTTTTGGTTATAGTGCTCATTATTCTAACAATAAGTTTTCTTTAATGATCACTTAAGGATATACAGGGGATATACAGGGGGGGGGGCAAAAAAGTCACTTTCCTTCATTGACTTTCGAGGCGCTATAAGTTACACTTTATTAAATTCTGATCGGACATTTTTACCACCATATTAAAGAGCATATTAAATACTATCATGACACTCCGCCACAGCCTTCTGGACGAGCGCCATCGAGAGATTCTGGCACGCGACCGCGATGTGGTGCCTGAGATCAGCGAGATAGTCGATTTCTCCGCCACCGTAGACCACCCTATTGAACTCCGCCCGAACCGGGTAATTGAGGGGATTCAGGTCAGGTGACCTACTTGGATATTCCATCTTCTTTAGGTACTCAGCCCCCTTCCATTCCAAGTAGGCGAGAGTTTCTCCAACGCCCTTCGATTCCATGTGGTGGCACCAATACAAAGTTTCCAAGAAGGTACGGGCGACGACATGTGAGGAGGATATTCTTCACGAGTTGCTCGATGTAACCGCCAGCGCTCACCTTCAGTCCGGGGTCCACGAAGAAAATATTGGTCTTTCCATTCCAGGTACGTCCGGTCCATACCATCAACCCGCGCCTTGGCGACTGTGGTGAAGATGATGTCCTAGACCGTGGCGACGTTGTCGGAGCTGCTCGATGTTGGAGGTCATCCAGATCGAGAGTACTGGTCTCCAGGTAGCTATCCATGGGTGACTCCATACTAGAAGTTTCGCAGCTGTTTGGAGGTGACATGAATTCCAAAGGTCTTCTCCAGTCAGGCTGCGACTGGAGATGACTTCATATTTTGGTGTGAAGGTGATGGGCGAGAGCCAGCTCCTGCTTATCGAGGAACATCTTGGGTATCTTCCGCCCTGGTACTCGTATCCACGTCTTCTCTCTGGGCAGCGAAAACTTTGCTGATATGTGACTCGGTCGAAGTGACTTTTTTGCCGCCCCACCCCCCTGTACACTAGTTCGGGAGTTATGGCGAGTTGTTGCACCTGGAAGTCGGTTTGCTTGACATGTTCTGACGCGTAGACGACAAAAAATCGCGCCAAACGACATACACCCGGTAGATGGTTCACTGAATCGATATCCATACTTTCTTAGTCGCTGGCGCTGGCGTACGCTCGAAACGCTGATGGACGTTGGTGGTCGCCGACGCAACCACCAACGTCCATCAGCGTTTCGAGCAGTCTAATAAAAAATTGAATGTAGACTACCTTGGCTACCGTTGCCTCTACGATTCCTTCGGTGCAGCGCTTGTCTAAGCTCTGGTGAACTGAAGATAAAATTGTTATTTCCCTTCGATAATCATTTTTGCCATATTGTGAACTGTATTGTTTGACGAAACAAACGTGGCACAACTAGACAGATTCGCACTGTTACCTGTATGCACTTGTTCTGTCGAAATCTCTCAATGATAGCATACTACTTGCAAACTCGAACAATTCTGACTGGAACCGTTCCAGGTAACCAGGAAAAATTCCTATTAAACGGAGATTGCGCTGAAAATAAACCGAAGTTAATGGAAGCAGTAGACTCGAGCAAATATAATTCTGGATACCGAAAACTGCGGTGAATTTATTTGATACTCTGAACACCAAATGATGATCTCCCTTGCAACAGCGCTGCGTCCTCTTGCGTAATCCTCTTTAGTTTCGTTTGGCTTTCTCTAAAAACAGTCGTGTTTCTAATGAACAAGTGATGCAGCTAGAAAAAAGAAAACAAGCGCAAAAAAGCATAAAGTTTTCTTTGTTGATAAAATCCTTCTTGGAATACAGCAGGAGATGAAATTTTATAAAGAGTAGCCAAACGCAAGTGCGAACGTTGATAGAAAAAGATGATTCCAGCGCAGAAAAAATAATGGGGAAAAACTCGCTCGCTTTGACCTCGACAGTGGTGATCAGTTGAAGAACAAAACATGAACTCAGGGGTGCCGGGAAAATATTAATTTTGCCTCATTTTTTATTATGAAGCACTAACATCAACCTGCTTTTTTCTTATCCTTAGTAACAATCGGATTCGCCAGGGCTCTCTTTGATAAAGAGGTGTTCTTCACGCATTAGGCAGCGTCTAATGTAGCTGCGAATAGCCAGTAGGCAGAGAATATGATTTTCATGCCGCTGGAGTGCGCACAAGCAAGTTTGTAATGATGCTTCTTAATCTGCAGGCAACAAACTGTATGCGTATGTGCAAACGTTACCCTTGTGGATAAATACACTGATTTTTATGGAGATGTACAAACTTCATTATCACTGAGTCGCGCAAAAAAGGCTCCTTTGATGAAAGAAAGTTTAGCCAAGTCGCAATCAATCACGCAAAAAACAAAAGCTCTTCAATATTGCTATGAGGCGCAATTTATCGACGGGGGGGGGGGGGGGGGGCGGGGGGGGAGGATTTTGCTTTCCATAGATGTGTCGACCCATCTAGGTAGTGTTTTCTCGAGTTGACACGTTCTTGGATGGTGGCTAGACGATCCTGCTCCAGCTTTACAAGAGTTCACAAGTTTCACCAAGTGAGTGAGATTGGCAAAGGGAAGCAGTGGCATAGTACAGAAATCCTCCCCCCCCCCCCCCCCGTCGATCCGTTGATAAACAGCGCCTTGCTATGCTATAATGACTTTGCATTATTTGCCCTTTACTGCCCCAGTCTTCCAAAAACAAGCCAGTTTTTGACCGATTTTTTTTCTGCGCCGGCAGAATTGGCTGAAATTTGTACCCTGGGATAGTTCGACCTCCAACATGAATATCACATCCGCTCGGCACGAAACCTTCTGGCGCCCACGCCACAGGCGCCGCGCCAAAATACCCTAAATCACCAAAATCGCTGAAAACTTGGTCTCAGGGGTAGTTTGACCTCCCGAACACGAATATCACATCCGCTCTACCCGAAACCTCCTGGCGCCTGAGCTACAGGCGATGGCGCCAAAATACCCCAAATCACTGGCGCCTGTGGCGCGGGCGCAGGAAGTTTCGGGCTAAACGAATATTCGTATTTAGGAGGTCAAACTACCCCAGGAGACAACATTTGAGCCAAATCTGTCCACGGAGAAAAAAGTCGGTCAAAAACTGGCACTGCTTTGTATAAATAGTAAAACTAGAGAGTCGTAGAACGAAAGGAAACGTTCGAACGTACACAGCGCCACACAATCTGCAGCTCTCGATCCAAAAAGCTTTTGAGTCTCTCCGTAGACTCCGCAACATTAGCACTGAATACCTCAGGAGAAAAAGGCACCTGAAACACGTACATTATGAAAAATGGCCCCGCGCAATCGTAGTCTGATGCGGGACTCGGCAGCACCTCTGTGCTCTTTCCCCAAGCCAAGGCTTTTTGTTAGACCCATTGTTAGTGTAGACAAGGCCTTCTCTGCGAGACGATCCGTCGGCAACTCTACAGGATGACCAAATATTCTGGCAATTCTTCGGAATAGTTGGTAGTATAAAAATGCCATTCAGATAAGTAAATCACTAAACCTGCACGATGGGAGTCTTCATCAAATCAGTAACAATGACAGTATACAACAAAGTCACAACATGTGTTCAAAATTGCCTCCTTCGGCCTCAATACATTTGCTCAGTCGCTTTTCGAAGTGTCCGACAATGGTCGCGCATTCTTCTACTGTAATTTCGTCCCAAGCACGCAGCAACGCCGCTTTCAGGTGGTCCACCATCGGACTCCTGATATTTTTGCCCCAAGTGGAGTAATTCATCGGGTTTCGACCAAGCGTGTTGGGAGGCAAACGTCCCTGCCCCGAAATCTCAGATACAGTCTTCACAAACGGCAATCGTGGATTTGGCAGAATGTGCTGGAGCCCAGTCTTCTGAAGCACAAATCCATCCGGACCGAAGTGCTGCGACACCCATGGCTTCAGTACATCGCGAGAAACCCGTTTTTGCTAGTTGACAGCATTGATCTTAACGCTGCGCTCGATAAAGACCTACAGGCTTCTTCCCGGTGGCACAGATCCCGCCTCAGACCATGACTGAGGCTGGAAAGAGTCTGCGTCCGACGGATTTCGCAGCCATTGTCTTCTGCTGACCTTTTCTGAGGAGCTGACACAATTCCGGTAGTTGCAATCGAAAATTTTTTTCGGTAGAGAACACATTCTTCAAGCGACGAGCACCGACCAGAAGATGCACCTCAACAACTGTAACTTTCTGATTTTCTCGAGACACTGTGAGGAGAAATCGAAAGTGATTGGATAGATGACTCATACAGTAGATCGAAATTGCTTGCGGAATACAAATAACCTATCGGAGAGAAAAAAGACTGCGATGACCACTCAAAAAAAGCGCGAACACGAAATTTCCAGAACTTTTCGGTCACCCTTTAGTCGTATGCGCTCTGATCTTAAGCCTAAGTGAAACACTGAGACGCGGCCAAGTGCTCCACTCGTAAGCTGCGTTAGCGCCGAACAGTCCACAAGTCCAAACAGTCCACTAGTTCAATGTAACACAACATACCCTAATCGAATTGCGATCAATAGAGCTCCATTCGAGCTTGTCCTTATAAATAAGTGAGCGGAAAACAATGTTGCCAACGAGGTCCCCTCTGAAATGATGAAAACTGCTACTCAAGAGCATCAGTTCAAAGTCGCTACCGAAGATTAGAGCAAATAGAACCACCTTGTGGTCACGTCTCTCTTCAGCATTTCCAGTTTAGATATCTCATTGACTAGCCGACCATTGGTCTTCGAAAGATCAGAAGACCGATCTACACGAGCGTTGCCGTTCCTGAAGGCAGTAGGTACTGAGATCCAATTAAAAACGAAAGCTAGGAAAGCCAGGACCCTCACATTTGTTTCTGTACATAATCGAGCCTCCTTTGCAAGCGCCGTATTCGCAGTCTTATGCATTCCTGCTCATCAAGAGGTGGTTGGGATTGACCGCGCTCAGCAAGACGTTCCGCTTCAGCCGCTGCTCGTAACTCCGCAACTATGACTCTGAAAAGTAGCGTGCCAGCAGTCTTGTTAGGAACTTATACCTATTTTGCATCAGCTGATACTTATTACATTACTTACACCGGACGTTCGGACGGTGGTAAGTTTGCGTGATGCCAAAACCTTTCCACTTTTTGCAAACACAACGGACACTTTCCAGCATATTTCAGCCATTGAGAAGTACACGTGAAACAAAACGAGTGAGTACAATTATCGAGTACTGTTGGATCGGATCTCCTGAAAACAAATATCCAGGATCTTCGAATGAAAAAAAATGTCGCACAAATAAATACTATGTCTCAAGGATTAGAATTGAAAGCTTGATGTGTGGTATAGATCGGAGATCTCTACTGCGGACTCCTTTCTTCAGATAGAAAACATCTATCTAAAAGGATCTGTGAAAACGTCAAAAATGAAATAGATCAAAATTTAGGAAATCACTACAAATTTGTTCCATTCGCAATATACTGGATCAAGCTTGCTTTCTCTGCTTCTCAAATGGCATACGCTCAACACCCTGATGCAAAGCATGGACGCACACTGATGATCCCTTTTGTAATAAAAATAAAAAAAACGTTACTTCACTCAACTGAATACTCACACGCCCTAAACTACCGCATTTTCAAGTTGTTTAGTGGGTTCCCTTTAGATCGAACCTGTCATATTCTGAAACAATTATTTGAAAAGCCACCCGATGGTTTTCTATCATTGCTTTTCATAGAGTGGTTCTAGTAACATCGAAATGGCATAGTCCTTTAGCCAAAACACATTAGCAACATCACCTGCTTTTGTCGCATTCAGAACAATGAAAGGACAAAGCTAAATTTGCTACACTCCAACTACTATTGCGACTTCAGCTTGATTTATTCCCAATTTACTTGAGACATCCACGGATTCATTCTCAAACCACTTCACGACATCATTAACCTGAGTCCAGGATTTTGCTTCCACAGGAAACCTGGTTCATAACCAGCGATATTTTTTCATATCACATCTTGCAGTTGTTCAGTTATCTTGCAAATACGACCTTAACGTTGCACTTGAACCCCACTACCCATGTATGACATCTGCGGACTATGCCTTTGAGGAAACACGCTTTTTGGAACGGCTTCAACTGTCTCATTCGATTTAAAACGGAGATCTCCAACCTCGCCGATATGCTTCACACCGGGCTCATTGTTTAAGTCGATATGGAGTGGCTGTAAAAATCGATATGGAGTGAGTGTAGAATCTACACACCACATTTTTGAACGTTTGAATGAAGGGCTCTCCAAGCTAAATTTTTGTGAAGAGCCACTTTAAACAAAATTTATAACTAAAGGACATCATGCGAGTAAAACGCTATCTGGTACTATGGAAGCATCTCACAATTTCCGCTTATTCCCTCGTCGCTCGGTGTGGATCTTCGTATAGACATGTAAGGCACTTGCTCACAATCTGCCGCAGTGAAGAATCGGAGAAAGAACGCTTTCGCGAAAGAATTTTGATAAGTATCGACACGTGGTTCGGCGATGAATCCGGCGCCTTTCCGAAAGGGGTTAGATACGTACTGACAGGCGGATCGGCCTTACCCGCGCGAAAACACTTTCTTAGGCATTGCTCACAGTCTGCGGCCCAGCGTTTCTCTAGAAAGAAACGCTCCGGCGAAAAGCCTTCGATACGTATCGATTGGCGGTTGGGCGAAACGGTTTTGATACGTATCGACGGGCGGTTCGGCATCTGGCGTTTTTCTCTAGGGATAGCCTGCGAAATCGATACGCATCTATTGCTTTTCGCCCAACCGCTGAACCGCGGCGGTTCGTCGAACGGGGCGGTTGGCGATTCTCCGATCAATAAGTATTTTTTGCTTTTCGCCGAACAGCCGTTTCTTCAGGTCTCAGACTGTGAACAGTGCCTTAGTGCGCTCTGGCGTCCTCGTGGGCGAAGTCGACGAAATCGATACGAATTCAGCTCTACTTGCGTTGACGCTGATGTTTCGCCGGAAAGTTCTTCAGTCGTTGAATATTTTTTGTTTCTCACCGTTTCCTTGATTCCTCAGGTTCTGAACAACGCAAATGGCTCCTCACCGAAAGCAATAAGACGCTAAGAGCGACACACACTTTCAGAACAAAACTGCCACTTTTGAACGCCTTGTGCCAACTTACAGTCCACCTAAAGCATCGCTTCTCGGCTCCAAAACTCATGGATTTTTAGTTTTTGCGGCTTCAATTCCTTGATTCAATACGAACAGTATCGAAAACCCTCAGTTCGCCGACATGACACGCCACTTTAAAGATTCAAAATTTACCAAATACTACATCACCATAACAACCAGGCATACTTGCTCGCAGAGCTAGGAATCCGAATATACCGGGAAACTTTCAATTTCCTTATAGAAACATCAGTTAGGTAAAAGTTCGTTTATTATTCATGAGCCAACTATAAACTACTCTTTAAGAAGTCAAAAAACGGAGAATATCCATTGGATTGCTAGTATCGCGCGATCACAGCCTTCGGATGGCTATGATCGCGCTACTCGAGCGACCAGATCGCAAAGTATGAACGCGCTCTAGCGCCTTATGCCTTGCTTTTTGAAAGCTCATACCGAACTACAGAGATGCTGCGTGGAATAAATACTAGAGAACGAAACATATTAACAACACACACTTACGGTGCAAGACAAATCGCGCAGACATCCGGGTTCGATCCTCCACTATAATCCATAGGCTCCTCGGGAGGCTCTTGCTTTTCGACCTTTGGTTCAAGACTTGCAAAATCATCATCTAGATCATTAGACGGTGATGGCGTCAAAGTCGGCCTATCTGAATCACTCAAACTAAGGACACCTTCGAATATACGTGGAAATAAAGGAAGCTCGAACCATCCTGTTCTGTTGTCAACTGAAGAGAAATGCTGTCCTTAGCGAGTGTCTTCGCTCTTCTTGCTGGTGGACCAGATGTTGTGGTCTCTTCAGGGGGTCGGCTAGCAGGTCGTTTTCGCTTTGGAGGCATAACACATATAAAAGTTGATTAAAACTGAGCAGTGAACGTTCGGAACCTGTAGATAAAAGCCCTAAGTCAACGGCAAGAGAAGCCCGAGTACAACAAACCGGCACATTCTTTAGCTCTAATAGAAACGCTTCAATTCAATCACTATTTAGAGTATACAGCTCAATATGTCTCGAAAACACACAGGCCAAGTCACCAACTGCCGCAAAGGGGGTGTATGTCGTCAGATGAAGGACTACTTGTGCAAACACAGACCAAGCGCTCGGCTCCACAGGGATGTATGTCGTTTGGCGCGATCTTTTTGCCAAAACACGTCAGACGAACCGCTTTTCAAGAAGGGCAACTCGTTCAAAGCTTCAGAACACTGAATTTTCCCTGGAAGTATGTGGTCGTTGTAAGATCAACTGGTCAGAAGCATGAACAGCGCAGCTTCATTGTTCATGTAAGCTGTTGAGAACGAAACCCTGTAGTTTAATGAGGCACTGTTCACAGTCTGCAACCCTGACGAAACAAGGGGTTCGGCGAGAAGCAGTAAATGCGTATCTATTTCGCTGCCTCTGCCTTAGAGATAAAAACCAGGGCGGTCGGATTAGCGTTTTTCGCCCAACCGAACCGCCCGTTCGATACGTATGGATACCGTTTCGCGCAACCGCCAGACTCTTTGCTCAAGTCGATACAAATCGAAAGCTTTCCGGCCGGAGCGTTTCTTTCTAAAGAAACGCTGGGTCGCAGGCTGCTGGAACACCTACCTTGAACTTGAAGGGCACCCCAGGCGATTCTATCGTCGGCAGTCAGCGCGAACGCCGCTCACACGCCGCGGACCCCAAATACCGGAGTTGGATGCCGCTACTCCCGATTCATTGAGCAACGGCCACAGTTGGTCAAGCTGTGCCTCTTTCAAATTGTTAAAGGGATCGTCGACCCTTTAACAATTTGAACGCCACGCAACAAAACTTGTACGCGGCGGCCGCCACGCCGCCTCGCTCCGCCCACCCGCGACGACCCGACGATAGAATCACTGCCACACCGATATGGAAGTAGATATTTCCAGCATGGGTACAATTGTCATGCACGCCCTGAGCGGACAATGGTGATACCGCCAAGACCGCCTTTGCGCTTTACAGGTGGCTCGCTCGCCGTTGCGGTTCCGATTCTGCCGCGATCACATTGCAGTGCAGGTGGCCGACAGGTAACGGCTACGTCTACCAAGTTGGATATGCACTTTGTCCGAATCACTTGCACTATAAACGCCGTTTTCGTAGTCTATGTGGTCTCCCAAAAATCGTGGTCGGGCTTGCATGTTTTTAAGCCAAGTGTTCTTCTAGTGATCAACTAGGGAAATACATTTGTTGGAAGTTTCTACAAGTTGCTTCACCTGAAAGTCGGGGGTATGTGACAAGAGAATCATAATTCGCCTATTTTCGGTTCTATTTGCCTGTTGTCGCACTTACAAGGTAGGTGCGACAACAAGCAAATAGAACCGAAAATAGTCATGAATGTTTACGAGTCTACATGGAGTCCGGTGCTCCAGTGGAGAGCTAACAGAGAGGAACTGTCGCGCCCATCGCCGCGCGCGGCAGAGCAGCAAGCTACGATTCTATTGCCCGTCTCCCAGAAGTCGGTTTGCCTGAAATGTTTTGACGCGCTGACGACAAAAAAATCGCCAAACGACATACACCTGAATATCCTCTTCTCGTACGACCCTTTTCCCATGCCACATCTTACCTAGGATCCTTCTCGATAGGCCACCACTTTCTACTACTACTACTTCTCCTCAGCTAGGTTGTTTTCCGGGCATCTCGAGTTTGAAACCACTTCTAGGGATGGTGTCAGAATCCGCGCGCAGTACATGACCGTACCATCCCAAGCGGGATTTCCGCATTTTCTCGGCTGCGGGCTACACCGAATCTCTTGCGTATGTCACCTGCGAACGCGACGCCGTCCGTGAAGCGCAGCATTTTCATCTTCATCACTCCAAAGTGAGCCTAAACTTCCTTGGTCGTAGGCCCGCATTCAGCACCCTACAGGGGGGGGCAAAAAAGACTTTTCTTCCTTGACTTTCAAGGCGCTATAAGTTACACTTTATAAATTCTGATTGGACATTTCCACCACAATATTCAACAGCATATGTATACTATCATAGTAGCCTTCTGGACGAGTGCCATCGAGAGATTGTGCCGTTCGACCGTGATTCTGTACCATAGTTCAGCGCAATCGTTGATTTCCCGCCGTGGACCATGAGCTTGGCCCAAACCGTGTAATTGAGGGGGTTTAGGTCAGGTGACACACTCAGATATTCCGTCTTCTTCAGGTACTCAACGCCCTTCCATTCCAAGTAGGCGAGAGTTTTTCCAACGCCCTTCGATTCCGTGTGGAGGCACCCAATCCTGTACGAAGTTTCCAAGAAGGTACAGGCGATGACATGAAGGCAGGATATTCTCCACGAGTTGGTCGATGTAACCGTCAGCGTTCACTTTCAGTCGGGGTCCACGAAGAAAATATCGGTCTTCCCATTCCAGGAACTTCCGGTCCATACCACCAACCCGCGCCTTGGCGACTGCGGTGAAGATGATATCCTGGACCGTAGCGACGTTGTCGGAGCTGCTCGATGTTGGAGGTCTTCCAGATCAAGAGTACTGGTCTCCAGGTAGCTATCCATGGGTGACTCCATACAAGAAGTTTCGCAGCTGTTTGGAGGTGACGTGAATTCCAAAGGCCTTCTCCAGTCAGGCTGCGACTGGAGATGACTTCATATTTTGGTGTACATGAAGGTGATGGACGAGCCCAGCTCCTGCTTATCGAGGAACATCTTGGGTATCTTCCGCCCTGGTACTCGTATCCACGTCCTCTGTCTGGGCTGCGAAAACTTTGCTGATATGTGACTCGGTCGAAGGGTTTTTTTTGCCCTCCTATATCGCGACAGGTCGAGCGATGGTTCTATAGATCTTCGACTTGAGGCGCTCTGGTATCGCCTTGTCGCGAAGAACGCCAGCCATGGAGCGCCATTTAGACCGCACTTGTCTTGAGGCTCTAGCACTTTGACAAGACAGCAACGGCAACGTTTCTTATGGGCCCTTATCAGATATCACTTTCTGTAATCCATCGTCGACATCCCCACCTCTACATCACTTGCTGGAATTAACGCCTATCTTGGTGTCCTGCATTATGAATATGGTGGCACTTCCATTCTGTCCTTCCTTATCAAGTCTTATCAGCAGCTAACAGTTTCTGTCAACCCTCAACGAAGTTCCTCTCCCTCACCCTACATGTATCTGAATTAGCAACTTGATGCATCACCCGAGCTATGAATATGGTGGCCACCCCATTTAAACGCCTTTTATCAAATCCTACCAGCTGATATCACTCCGTCGCCCACCAATGGTGTTCATGTCACACTCCTTCCATCGCTTCGGATCCAGACCAAAATTTCTCTGCCACTGGGACGATTTCTATGAATTTCGTGACACACACACACGTACTTAGCGGATTATATTCGTACGGAAACGTCATGTATAACCGCAGCCTGATTGTGAGTTGTTTTGTGAACGCGTATGGTACACCACAATAGCCGCAACCATCATCATTGGATTGTTAACTTCAAGTGAAACGTCACCATTCTTCCATATCATGCAATGTGTCGAGATTGTTGCACCTCTCCTGCCAGTTGATGAGAGTAGGCTTAAATGTTAGCAGTATTTTTTGTATCTCTCAAATTATCAAAATTTCTGAGCAGTATCTTGTATCATGTATCCGTTTCTTTTTGTTTTTTTTTCAATGCTCAAATGTCTACTGATGCAGATTTCGTTGGCGATGAAACGTCGCTCTCAGATAGGCTGTGTTCATATTTTGCGGCAACGTCCACCAGCGTCTAACAGCGTTCCGAGCGTCCGGCAGCGTCAGCGACTAGGAAAGTATAGATATCGATCTAGCGTCTGCCAGCGTCTACCAGCGTTCACCAGCGACCGGGAGTAGAGAGTATGGGGAAGTAGGAGGGTAGCAAACAGCTGGATTAGGCGTCGTGAAATTGCGGCGTGTGCAACCGCACCGTACACTTGCTAAAGCACAGATTTGTGCAAGTTAATGCACGGTGTTCTACTTCCCTAGCCCTCGAGACGCTGGCAGACACTAGCGGACGCTAGCAGACGCTAAATCAGTTTTGAAACTTTCTAGACTTTGACGCTGCGCGACGCTAGTGAAGACGCTGATGGACGCTGCCGCAAAGTATGAACGCAGCCATACGGTTAAAAAGTACTTGTTCGACTTGATTTCGATACGAATAATGCTTTTTTCAAAGGGACAATTTTGTATGGCTCCAGGAATTTTTATTCGTTTGGATATGGTGCACAAATACACTCGACATTATTTTAAATACATTAACTATGAGTTCGTCCTATGCCAGTTCTAGCTGGACCGCGCTACCACTTTGTTCGCTTTGATGGTAGGCCGCATGATCTGAAAAAGCTATCATCAGAACGAAGTGACCAAAGTCTTAACACAGCGGTATCGAGGTGCCAAACAGTTCGCTCACCTGGAATGAGCAAACTAATCCTTCATCGACATTCATCATTGCAGCAGCGTTATCGAACTGTCCGCAGTAGTGAGGCGCAGAAAAGATGGTAACAAGGCGTTTATTGGCGAAGAACTCGTACCCATCTTGTACTACCTATAGAATCACGTCTTTCTATGAGATAGATCTATGAATATTGTCATATATCAAGTCTCATCTTTCATCATTTCTGAGGGATGCAGGCATGTGAATTCTACTGATGAGCTCGTCGCAATAGAGCATCGATATCCTAGTAGCCCGTAACATTTCGTTTTACCACGTCTTGGCAAAAACGAACATACACACTCACGAGTATTCGCTAGCCAACCCTAAGCACAAAAAAATGTAGAGGTTAGAAATGGGGGCGAGTATATTTTCAAATTCTTTGGTGGCTGAAAGTGAGCAGTCATAATCGATCCACGATGCAATCTGAGTGATGGAACCTAAGCGTCCGAAAATCGGGACCGTTTCGAACATGAAATGAAGCGCTTCCCAAAAGTTTCGTGGAGGTCTAACGCATTGGGGGCGACACTCGCTCGCCCCGACGATGACACATCAGCTTTCTGTGCTCCCCTCCGCGCCGAGATATTCAAAATGCCATACCTGATTCTCGACAGCTTGAAGCGGGAAACGTAAGCAGCAAATCACGATAAAACAAATGAGAATTCGCCGGGAATTGTGCTTTGAATATAGCCACAGATGGTTCCGCGCATATCAAGAGTAGGAAATAGATGAGATCGAGAAAGAAGAGGTAAAGTGCATATACCGATTGCAAAGTATCGCTTGTGAAGCATGACTATGCTACTAATCTCCCTATCGCTGCGTGATTCACGCCCATATCAACTTGGCCACAGCTGGCTACGATGACGAAGGAGGAGTTCGACAACGATCGAGGACTTCTGTGGAAGAATCGCCCGCGCCCAAACTGTGGACTGTGGAAACCCAAGGAAGGTCACCAAGCAGGGAGGGGATACAAGATGGAAGTTCGAGTGCAACCTTCGCTCGTGCCGGCGACCTGGTGTGGAGAGGAAGATCGGTTACCTCAAGGGCACATTTTTCGAGTCCTTACGTGGTGATCGAAAGAAGATCTTTCTGGCCAGCTACCTATTCGCTTACGATCTCGGAACGGCGAAGGAGATGGCTCGAACGCTCGAGGTGCAGGAGAACACCATCCTGCAATGGAGTCAGTGGTTTCGAGATGTGCTCGTACAGTTCTACACTAACAACGTGGTGCAGCTGAGGCGGACCAAATACCATCGTACAAGTGGACGAAACCAACATCGTTCGTCGCAAGTACAACGTCGGCCGGATCGTTCGGAAGGATTGGCTTGTCGGTGGGATCCAGGACGGTACGAAGCTCTTCTTTGTAGAGATCGTCGACAAGCGCGACGCTGCTACTCTGGAGGCGATAATCCGGAAATATTAGGTTGACCGGAAAGTTTCCCGCCACGTGTTTGATCGCACCATATTAGCCTTGCATGTATGTTTATGACTTATCGTGGGGTGTGCATGAAGCACGCAAGAGACTCTTTCACATCACTACCTCACACTCACCCAGCTTACATTTGGATTTCAAAACGCCCCAAGTTTCAACCCGACAGGATGCACCA